TGACCAGCCTTTAAGCAGACTAATCAAGAATAAAAGGGAGAGAACCCAAATTAATAATATCAGAAATGAAAGAGGAGAACTAACAACTGATACCACAGAAATACAAATGATCATCAGAAACTATTATGAACAATTATATGCCAAGAAATTTGAAAACCTTGATGAAATGGACAAATTTTTAGAAAAGTATAATCTTCCAACACTGAAGGAGGAAGAAACAGAAAGCTTGAACAGACCGATAACAGCTGGGGAAATTGAAGCAGTCATCAAGAAACTCCCAGCACACAAAAGCCCAGGGCCAGACGGTTTCCCAAAAGAATTTTACAAAACATTTAAGGAAGAGCTAACCCCTGTCCTTCTCAGACTATTCCAAAAAATCCAAGAGGAGGGAAGACTCCCAGACTCTTTCTATGAGGCAAGCATCACCCTGATCCCAAAACCAGATAAAGACCCTACCAAGAAAGAAAACTACAGGCCAATTCCGCTGATGAACATAGATGCTAAAATCCTCAACAAAATATTGGCAAACCGCATCCAGCAATACATTCAAAAGATTATCCACCACGATCAAGTGGGATTCATCCCAGGGATGCAGGGATGGTTCAATATATGCAAATCAGTAAACGTGATACAGCACATAAACAAAAGACAAGACAAAAACCACATGATCATCTCGATAGATGCAGAAAAAAATTTGACAAGGTACAGCACCCATTTATGATCAAAACACTCAGCAAACTGGGAATAAATGGGGCATTCCTCAACGTAATAAAGGCCATATATGAAAAACCTACAGCTAACATCATACTCAATGGGCAAAAACTGAAAGCTTTCCCACTAAGATCGGGAACACGACAAGGATGTCCGCTCTCACCGCTTCTTTTCAACATCGTATTGGAAGTCCTAGCCACAGCGGTCAGACAAGAGAAAGGGATAAAAGGCATCCAAATAGGAAAGGAGGAAGTAAAACTATCATTGTTTGCAGATGACATGATAGTGTACAGAGAACCCTGTAGACTCTACCAAAAAACTCCTCAACCTAATAAGTGAATTTGGCAAAACAGCAGGATACAAAGTCAACATTCAGAAATCAAAGGCGTTTTTGTACACCAGCAATGCAATAGAAGAAGAAATCAGAAAAAATATACCATTCGATATAGCACGAAAAAAGATAAAGTACCTAGGGATAAATTTAACCAAAGACACAAAAGACCTGTATGCAGAAAACTATACAACATTGAAAAAAGACATTAAGGAAGACACAAATAAATGGAAGCATATACCGTGCTCATGGATTGGAAGAATTAATACCATCAAAATGTCCATATTACCCGAAGCAATTTATAGATTCAACGCAATCCCTATTAAGATACCAAGGACGTATTTCACAGAAATAGAACAGACATTTCAAAAATTTATATGGAACCATAAACGACCCCGAATAGCCGCAGCAATTTTGAGAAAGAAACACAAAGTAGGAGGGATCACAATACCGGACATCAAACTCTACTACAAAGCCACCATACTGAAAACAATCTGGTACTGGCACAAGAACAGACCCATAGACCAGTGGAACAGAATAGAAAGCCCAGAAATAAGCCCAGGTCTCTATGGACATCTAATATTCGACAAAGGGGACAGAAGCATAAAATGGAGCAATAATAGCCTCTTCAACAAATGGTGTTGGGAGAGCTGGACGGCTACATGCAAAAAATTGAAATTCGATCATCAGCTGACACCATACACAAAAATAAACTCAAGATGGATAAAAGACTTAAACATAAGTCGCAACACCATCAAAGTCCTAGAGGAGAACATTGGCAGGAAACTCTCAGATATCCCACGCAGCAATTTTTTCACTGATATGTCTCCTAAAGCAAGGGACATAAAGGAAAGAATAAACAAGTGGCACCTCCTCAAAATAAGAAGCTTCTGCACGGCAAAAGAAAACATCAGCAAAATGAAAAGGGAGCCAACCGTATGGGAAAATATATTTGCTAATGATACATGAGATAGAGGTTTGATCTCCAAGATATATAAAGAACTCACTCGACTCTACTCCAAGAAGACAAACGATCCAATCAAAAAATGGGCAAAGGACCTGGGCAGATGCTTTTCTAAGGAGGAGATACAGAGGGTCCAGAGGCATTTGAAAGGATGCTCAGCATCACTAGCCATCAGAGAAATGCAGATCAAAACCACCATGAGGTACCACCTCACACCGGTCAGAATGGCCATCATAAACAGATCCACAAACAACAGGTGCTGGCGAGGCTGTGGAGAAAAGGGAACACTAGTACACTGTTGGTGGGAATGCAGACTGGTGCAGCCACTGTGGAAAGCAGTGTGGAATTTCCTCAGAAAGCTGAAAATGGAACTGCCTTTTGATCCAGCGATTCCCCTGCTGGGACTATACCCTGAGAACACCAAAACGCCAATACAAAAGAACCTATGCACCCCAATGTTCATAGCAGCACAATTTACAATAGCCAAGTCTTGGAAGCAACCTAAATGCCCATTAGTTGATGATTGGATCAAAAATTTATGGTACATAACACAATGGAGTATACTACGCAGCAGAAAGAAAAAAGGAAGTACTAAACTTTGGAACAGCATGGATGGAACTGGAGAGCATCATGCTAAGCGAAATAAGCCAAAGGGCGAAAGACAAATACCATATGATCTCACCTATAAGCGGAACCTAACCAACAATGCAAAGATGCAAGGAAAATATGACCAGCAACACTGAAAGGAAAAGAAATCAACAGAGACAAGAGAGAAGGTGGGGGTAGGGAAAGGGAAGGGAAGGGGAAAGTCAAGGAACATATAGCAAGGACTTATGGACAAAACCAAAGGGGAAGAGCTGAGGGAGGGAAGGTGGGAGAGGGCAAGGGAAAGAGGTGGGGGGAAGGCAGAGACAAATGTATTTAAAAAGTAAATAAATAAAAAAAAAGATACGATACTAAGTACACAAAAGAAAAAAACTGATAAATTGAACTTTTGTGCATTAAAGAATAGTATCAAGAAATAAAGACAACCCACAAAACAGGGAGAAAATATTTGCAAATCAATTATCTGATAAGAGTCTAGTATCCAGAATAAAGAACTCTTAAAACTCAACAACAAACATCCCAATCAAAGATGGGCAAAAGACTTGAAGACATTCCCTCAAAGAAAATATACAAATGGCAAACAAGCGCCTGAAAAAAATCCTCACCATCATTAGGAAAATGCTAGTCGCAACCACAATAAGGTATTACTTTAAACCTAATAGGATGTCTATAAACAACAAAACAAATTAACAAAGTGTTGGCAAGGATATGAAGACATTTAAGCCCTCCTATATTAGTGATGGGAATGTAAAAATGTGCAGCTGCTGTAAAAAAAAGTTTGACAGTCCCTCAAATGATTAAATGTTGTTCCCTCATAGTCAGCAATACCATTCACGAGTGTAAACCGAGGAGGAATTAAAAGAATGTTCATACAAAAACTTAGGACAAGAAAGTTCACAGCAGCATTATTAGCTTAAAAGTGGAAACAACCCAAATATTCACGGACATTTAATTGATAAATGATCAATTGATGAATGAATTAAGAAAATGTAATGTATACATCCAATGGCATAATATCCAGCTTTAAAAAGGAATACAATTTGACACGATATAATGTAAATGAAAACTGAAAACATGCTGAGTGAAGAAGCCTGACACAAAAGGTTACATATTGTATGATTCCCTTATATGAAATGTCCAGAATAAGCAAATCCATAGACAGAAAGTATAATATTCATTGCCAGGGGATGTGGATAGGGGAATTGATAGTGATTGCTAATGGGCATAGGGTTTCTTTTTTGGAATCATATAAATGCTCTGGAATCCATGCTAATAGCTGCACAACCATGTGAATAAGCTAAAAACCAGTGAATAGCATTTTGGAATGGTTAAAACAGTGAATTTTATCTCCATTAAGAAAAACCCTAATTACAAAAAAAGAGCCATTTGTTATACTGGGTAAAGAAACCACAATTTTGATAAGTAGTGGTAAAGATCAAAGATGCTGTGAGAGCATTTTAAAAATACTGGCAAAATATACATTTTAATCATTTTTAAGTAGTTCTGTGGCATTAAGTACATTCGAATTGTGCAACCATCCTTACCATCCATTTACAGAACTTTGCTTATCTTACCAAACTGAAACTCTACCTATTAAATAACTTCCCACTCCACCTTCCCGCTAGTCCTGGCAACCACTAATGTACTTTGTGTCTTGATGAATTTAACTAGATACTTCATAAAAGTGGAATCATACAGAATTTGTCCTCTTGTGATGGCTTAGTTCATTTAGCACGTCTTTAATGTTCATCCATGTATCAATCAGGATTTTCTTTCTAAGGCTGAATAATACTACATATTGTGTGTATACGCCATATTTTCTTTATTCATTCCCACAACAATGGACATTTGGGTTGCTTCCACCTTTTGGCTATTGTGAATAATGTTGCTAATCAACATGGGTGTACAAATATGTGTCCCTGCTTTTCATTTTTTTAACCCCACTTGAGGACACCTTTTCATTGCCTTTAGAGAGAGAGAGAGAGAGAGAGAGAGAGAGAGAGAGAGAGAGAGAAACATTGATGTGAGAAACATCAGTTAGTTGCCCTCTCATATGTGCCCACAAACTGGGTATGCTCCCTGCAGGAATCGAACTCATGACCTTTTGGTCTATGGGACGACACTCCAACCAACCAAGCCACACTGACCAGGACAATGTGTCCCTGCTTTTTAGAAAAAAATAAAAAAAGGTTATGATCTGCTACAGAGATTTTTGAAGGATGTTTGCTAAAAATTAAACTTTTTGAAAATACACATATATTTTGCATTACCTTAAGGATTAGCAATTTACTTCAGTTGAAAGCCACCCAAAAGAGAACCCAAAATCAATGCTATTTGTTTAAAATACACACACACACACAGTCACAGAGGTATCCATTACAAATTTATTATGCATTAGGAAGCTTAACTTAAAAATCAACAAACATAGTAAAAAGATATGTCATTTCTGTTCATAGCAGAATAGGTTTCAAAATAAATTTTCTTTTAAATATATTCAGTCAGTACATAATCCTTTATAAAAGTTGTATATTTTTTCTGTGAACACCTTCATTACAATTATAAATACAAGATTTACACAGCACTCTATCAAGAAAATTTAAAACTTCTTACAAATATCTACATATATATCATACCTATAAAACCTTCAAAGGAGTGCTCTGTTAAAGGTAGGCCCTAGTGAATGGTTAATTTATTGGTGCAGCAAAATGCATATATCTATCTATCTATCTATCTACCTGTAAAGCTTTCTTTGTCCATAAAACATCTCAAAAAAATTAGCAAGACACTTATTGTGACACTAAGTGTCCTAAACCATCATATTTTAGAAATGAATCTGATGTGCACATTCCCATGAGATTCAAAAGTCAGATAAATAGATGGAAATAAAGACCTATTGAAACAAATGTATACTACACAGAGCAGTTAAAGCAGGGATGTAATGAATGAGAAAAATCGAGACGAACGACACAGGAGATGTGGGAAGGAACAAATAATAATGCATTACATGAGTATGAACTTGGATATAAACTCCACTGGTATCCAGTTACTAACACTTATCCTCACTTAGGAATGTTTACATTGTTGAAAACTCTTGGAAGCACCCTCCAAATTCTACATTGCTACCAGAATGTTTGATGTATATTTTCTTCTGTAAAATCACCTTTGGATCTCACCAAGACACTAGGTCGAGGAATCTGAATTGTTATTTCTTCATGACTTAAACTTATAAGAAAAATTTCTTCACTGGTAAAGAATATTACTGATCAATATTATTAATATCCAGAGCTGTAAATGCTGAATTTTATTCTAGCCAAGAATATTAAGTAGAGAGACAAGGAAAAGAGATTAAGAATGGGTTTTTGTTTGACCTTTGAACAAAGGCAATAGATCCCTGACACTGAGTCTATGTGCAGCCACTCAAAAACACCAATGGACTAAGTGGGCACTTTTCAGAGAAACCAGAAGGAACAAAATCATAAAGGATTCTTTACCGTAAATCTGGCCAGAGATGGCAGGACCAACAAAATCCTGCACTTCTACTGAAAAAGACATGTAAAACTGCTGTCACTCTTAATCTGGAGGTATTAAAGGAAGGCCATCCTTTTTAGCAGATATGACCTTTTCTATTTGTTTTCAAAGTCTGGACTCCAGATCACTTTGAGAGTTGCATGTTATTCGTAGCAACGTATTTCAAATTTTAACTTATTCTAAGGTATAAACAGAAAGAAAAAGAATGGAAGAAAAGGAACAGAAGGAGGAAGAGGGGGAGGCAAAGGGTTACTTATCAAATGTGGCCCTGAAGGATGCCACTAGCATTTCCCTTCCAGCCCCAAAATGTCTCCATGTGGTGTGGCTCCCCAACAACTTCAGAGAGACGGTATCCGCAGAATCTTATTTTCTGCCAAGTTTATAATTCGGTGCACTGACTCCCAGGCTCCTCGAAGGAAGTAAGCTCCCAGATGCTGTTGTCTTGCAGGAGTGGCTCAATGTCCTCATTATTGCCCCGTTCTGGGGTGTTGGTCAGGTTGCCACTAATGCTATTGCTATGTTTTTTAATTCCATTACTGTATTCAGGGATAAATAAGGCAACCAGAAAAGACATAAGAACTATACAAGCCCCAAATAAAAATGGTGGGCCTGGGATGACAGCTTCCTATTGGGTGTGGGAAACAAATGGAGATGAAGAATTTGGTTAATCTTTTCACTGCAAAATTTGTTCTGAATGACCCAAAACCCCCCACACCAGCTCAAAGTGAATCATTTTCTCTTGAGCAAATGTTTCATTAACTGTCAAGGCAAATTGTCCTTGAGCCTAGAGTTTGGAATATATTTGACAGAGGGCAACTAAGCACTGATTTTTTTCACCACTTCTCAATAGTTTAACTAGACTTATCGATAACAGTTGATTCTCTACATGAATATGAATTCCAATTTTGTACAGATATCTATATTAAATATTGCTTAGAAGAAAGGGAGGAAGAAATACTAAGTAATGAATAGGAAAAGAACTCTAGTTCAATTTCTACCTGGAATTATGTGTCATTTTATATTTTATTTAGCCTGGGCTTTACCAGAAAACAGCATTGTGATCAGAGGTATTGTGTAGGTGAGAACAGAATCTGAACAGAGTTAAAAGAAATCTTTTATATAAGATATTAAATCACTGAAATGATTCCTTCCCAATCCCAGGAAGCACTTAACAAAGCAGTCACTACTGTCAAATATAATAGTAATATTATGCAAATAAGGACTCTCTCCAAATTTAAGGTCAGAAGATTTTACTACAATCAGACATAATCATTGTTATAAAACTAGACTTATCAACAAATTACCTGCAGAGCAGCATTGTTAGAATTCAATTTTGGTTCCAACTCAGTCAGTTCCACATGAAACATGTAGAATATAAAGCCATACAGTGCTGGTCCCAGGCCATTACATAGTCCTCTTATTCCAGTTATGATTCCCTGAGCAACTCCTAAGTCAAAACAAAGAAGAAAGCCAGCCTCCTCTGAGAAGCCTTTCAAGACTGGGGACTTAATTACAAACTAAGATATACTGATTGAGTGGAACAGAGTACTCCATACTGAGGAAAGTAGGTTAGGGATTTTGTCCATTATATTTGCATTCATTGCACAAATGTATTCTTGGTTTTACTATGTCCTTTTAATGTTATCACTGTGTGCCCTAACATCCATAAGAAAATGAAATGGCAGTGATGTTTCTGAAGCCGATTAGGAGCTGAACTCTCCCTGTAACAGCTAGATATTCCTATAAGTGGGAATAATAAAATGAAAAACTTTAATATTCTCCATTTATAGACAATTCACACCTTTTTGGTGGATTAAGGTTTTCCTGCTCTACTCATTTAATGGTACTTTTATAATGAAGATCTGCCTTTTGCCTCCTGCAGCCCTGTCCATGTGAGTCCACCAGTCCTGATGTTCTGTGGTCCCAGCCGCTCTGGGCAAACTGTTTCCTTAACATGACCTCCTCATCTCTGAATCATCTTTCTGCAGACCTGCACTGAAAAATCCTGCAAGTGCCAATTTCTAGATATACCTGGTTTCCAAAATGACAGGTATAACATTAGCTTGAACTGTATGAAATGTGTGTTTCTGTAGGTCAAAGATAATTCAACCTTATACCATGTGTAGTAATAATTTTGTACGCAGACATTTAGAAACACCTGTATTAATATATATAAGCATAAAAAGAGCTAAAGAGAATTTATGCCACGAAAACAGGACTGCATCTGTCAGACGGCACACCTTCATGTCAGTCCTCATGCCTCTCCAGGGATGTGCAGCCAGCTGAGTTACAACGGCCAGGGACACATAAGATTTGTGGTCAAGTGAAACTACTTTAAAATGTGGGTGTGAATAAGATGGCTACTTTCTGATGTGGAAAAATTGATGCAATAAATAAACTATTTTTTCCTATATAGTTTTTTATTGAAACTTTTTTGATTTAATCTTCACTGTATTTTTTTCCATTATCATTTAGTTCTCTTATACCCCCCACCCCCCCTGCACTCACCATACTATTGTCCATGTACATGAGTACTTTTTCCTTTTTGCTCACCCTTTCCCCCACTAGCTGTCATCCTGCTCTCCATCTATGAGTCTGTCTCCATTTTCCTTGTTAGCTCAGTTTGTTCATTACATTCCACATATGAGTGAAATCATATGGTATTTGTCTTTCTCTGACCGGCTTATTTCACTTAGCATACTGTTCTCCAGGTCTATCCATACTATTGAAACTTTTTAAAGGGCTCTGATCCATTAAATTTTTTTCCTTCTAAAATCTACTACTTCCTGACTACAGTAAGATGAGTCATTAAAAGATGACAAAGAAAAAGGATTAATTCTAGTAGGAACTGCATGATGGGAATACCAGAGAAGGACAAAAGGAAGATGAAGGAAGAGCCTACAAGCTTCTCTCCACATAGTTGTTTTAACTTTGTCTCTTACTCTGCACCAATTATCAACAACTACACAGGTGTATTTTTTCTTTACCTTCTCAAAAAAATCATTTCCTAAATTAAACTAATGAACTTAGATCCCAAATTAAAGAAATTTTAGTGATTACAATGACTAAATCAAGAGCTCATTGTTGTACTAGTCTGTCAATATTAAATAGACATCTGTTAAAATATGATTATAGCCTAGTTAATGCTGATGGTAGTACACTAAAGAGGAGTCAAAACCAAAAGGAGAAAACAGTTCTATCTGTAATTCTTAGTATTCTGAACTGTTGAGCCCACATTTTAAAAACATGGGTATAAGATCAGAGCAGAAAGGAAAACAGAATCTTCCTATTTGCAGAAGTAAATAGTTATAATCATTGAGAAGGGACCACATGGATTGAGAGGTTCAGAGCTGCTCTTGTTTCTGGCAGGTATGTCTCAACTGAGGAGGAAAGCAAAGAGGGAACAGTGATCTCACCTTGCTGATCTGACTCTGCATTCTGAGAGACAAGGGCACTGACTGCTGGAAACGTAATGCTGGACATAGCGGCCACAGTCCCCGCTGCCCACATCATCCTGCAATGACAGCACAGGCTGCAATCAGGCAGCAAGCCAGCCCCCAAGAAACCTGCTGCTCAGAGTACAATCAGCGGCAAAAGCACAAAATACTTCATTTTCTCATGTTAAGTTATATTTCATTTTCACTCTTTAATAATGGATTCTTTTTAACCTGAAATGTTATATGTCACTGTTGCTATTGATTACTTCAAAGGCTGGGGAAGTTTCATTTATTTTATTTTACTGCTTTCAAAATCCATTCTTCTTTCTGACTTCCTCATACCTTCTTTCTGACTTCCTCATACCAGAAAGTTCTGACTTTCTGACTTACCACCTTTATATGTAAGCTCAATAAAGTTCCAAAACATTTCCTGTTTCTATAAATACCACATTTCCTCTACTAATTTTCCACTTTTTCTTTGTACTTCTCAAAGGCTCACCTTCACCCTGCCCTTGAGCTGCTCATTTTGCTACCCCTCAACAAAGTGTCATGTATTACCAATGGGAAAAAACAGAAACCTGAAGTGCAGGAAGATATCCTGCAGACTTATAAGCCTGCTTCCTTTAGACTTTTGTCCTTTTCTCAATAAAAGGAACTTAAGTGTGTATGAATATTAAGCATAAGCGTGAGGAATGTGAAGCCCCAAGTGGGCTTAAAACTCTGCTTGGCCAAACTTCCTTGGGAATGGCTAACATGCACATCCTTACTGAAAATGGAGAAACACTTTGGGCTGACAAAATCTTTTTAACATAGCACGAATCTGATTCAACTACTGAACCAAAGCTCGTAGGACTGAAATCTTAGAGAACAAGAATCATTTCCTGACCTCTAAAGCATTTTTAGTTTCTATAAATTATGCCATGTATGTAAAATGAGGACTAACTCTAATATTTGAAATAGAGATATGAACTCTGGTACTTGGTAATCAGGCACACAGAGAACCTTGCCACACAACAAAAATAGCACTCAGGAGTCTTTTTATTTCTTCTGATTCCAGGGCTTATTCTGACCTCCCTGTTTATGGGAATATAGTATGTTAGCTGTAATAATAACTGTGTCAGGGCACACATGATTTTGGAAGAGCTATTACGATTACTCTAATTCAAATGTTTTATGTTATAAAGGTTATGTCACTGCCTGACGTCAGTCAGCTAATTACAGCAATGAATCCTGCTATCATTTTTCCCTAATTTTTTGTTTTGTTTTTGTGTGATGTCCCTAAAAACTGACAAATGTGTTTAAAAGGTAGACATAAAATATTTGGAGGGGTTGGAGGAGGAAGCACACACATTTACTTAAGTAACAACTCAGTGAAAGTCACTGAAGTGAAGACAATCTGTACAAACAATCCCAAATTACCTAGCTCCATCCTTCCCCAAATTAGGTCTGAAAAGTTTCTGAAATGTTGAATACATCAAATCAGTAAAATAACCCTTGCTTCCTTCACATCACACTCAACCACCTCAAGATCCTCTGAAAGACGTGTCTTTCTGCTAGTTTATAGAATCCACGAAAGAGGCTTACCAGGCCTTAGATCCAAAACCATACCAGGCTAACTGGAACATCTGGAAACCCAAGCCAAGGAGGACGGTATTCTTATTCCCTAGTGACCTCATCAAGATGGTAAGAAAGACTGTCTGCAAAGCAAAAGAGATAATCCTGAGAAACCATGTGAACACACAGATTTGATGCAAGCAAGTTCTGTGGGAGAAGCCCAACAGTGATAACTGGGAACTGCCTGAGCTGAGACTTTCCAGACTACTTGGTACTGATGTAGCTCTAAAGAACTGGAACTTCAGTGGTTCTCTTGCTGACTTGGGATTCAGAGCCTTTGGCCTTCTTCCCAAAAATCTGTTTATCTGGTACTTTGCTAGCACTTTCCCAAAAAAGATAATCACAGCCATTCACTGGTTATTGTGATTGAGAGGGACATGGCCTCAGTCTCTTCTGAGAAACACCAATCACTTAGTGAATAACATCTATCACCAGTGAACAGCAAACCCTTGCTGAGTATTTACAGAATATGTGGGATTTTGCTGGAGGTTACCAGTTTCACAAAGTTGGACTGATAAAAATTTGATTTTAATAAATATAGTCTGCTTAAAAAATGTGATTTTAATAAACATAGTCCGCTAAAACACTAGTTGAGATAGCCTGAAAAGACACAGGATAAAAGATGAGTCTGGGCTAATCCATTAACTAGAGTTAACATAAAAAAAAAAAATCATGAGCAACTTGAAAGTTTAACACAATTTACATTTGCTAATACAGTTTAACAACAACAACAACAACAAAAAAGGCCTCTGCCTTGATACATTCCTATTAGCTTTGTCAATTCTAATATAGGCAAAAACAGTTTTGCAGTCTTTTCATTTCTCTGCGATATAAGAGTGCTACACCTGGCCTACTTTGCTTTAAAGCAGTAAGTAGCTGTTTTAGGGAAATAGCCTTCAGATGTCCCATATGATATAGTGAATGCATCTAAAGCATATCAGTGAATTAATTTAAAGAGCACTTACCCTGCCTTTTGTCTTCCTATCTATAACAGATGAGTAAATTTTTAATGCTCTTGATTCATCACATATATTCTAATGCACTTATTTGCCACATTTCTTCAGTTCAGAGATTACCAGAGGTTGAAACAGTGGCTGAATTTCATTTCTGTTTTTCACTTCCACTTACTTCTCAACGTTAAAATAATATTGATGTATTCTCCTGCTTAAGTATATTTTTTTGATATGTGCAGTTAGTTAAATTGTAGTTGGTGGTTATGACAGCAAATTTTTGTTTGCTGAATAGACCCAGTAGAGGTAACAAGTATTCTAAAAAATACTGAAAGGTTGAATTAAATTACTCACAAATCCCAATCTCAACATTCTATTAAAAATGGAATGGTTCTGAGGATCATATACCTGTCAGCTTACTGGGTTTGCTACTGTACCATAGATATATATACAAGATGTTACCATGGCAGGGGAGGAGGCAGAGGGGTGCAGGGGATATTTAACATTTCTTTGTAGCTTCCTATAAACCTACAGTTACTTAATAAAAATGTTAAAAAAAATGAGTAAAATGACACTCACTTGAGCCACAATAGACAGAATTCCTACCATAGCTATGAATGCTGCAATTTTAGCTGATCCAAAACCTATGACCTGTGAAAATAGGGGGAAAAAAACCACTACTGTTAATACAGATATTATAAAAATAAGAAATGTAATGTTCTAGTAAAGCTGTAAGACCAAACAATTGAAAAAAAATCATAAAACTTTGAGAATGGCAAATTAAGGCAGTGCTGAAAGTTCAATCTATTTAACTATTTTATATCTAAAGCTGGTTTTTAAAGAACCAATGCAAGGAGGTACAACTTAATTTAGCAGATATTTTAAAGATATTTTCTGTTATCGGCCTATCTATTGTTTCACATACTTTCCCATCCCCAACCCACCAAGCACCAAATGTGGTGTTATCAAGCATTAGAGAAAATATAAAGAAAATAATCTGACTTAATCTGACGTTTGATACAGAATTTGGAATTTCCTCACTAGCAAATTCAGTGGCTCTCAACTTGGCTGTACATTAAAATCATGTGGGACACAGAAATGCAGAAAGAATGGCAGAGGAGAGGGGAGCAATGAGACTCGACAACCATTTGAGACCGAATGAATCAGATTCTCTGGGCCCAGACAAAGGTATGTTTCAAAAAGCTTCCATGGTGATTCCAATGTGCAGCCAAAGTTAGCTGGCAATGATTTCTAAATTTCTCAACCTTAACATACCTCTGAAAGGTCTTAAAATTTTAGTTTTAAATATCAAGTTTTTAAAAAGTTAAATTCTTTTCTCCTTCATTAAAATTCTGTAAAATTCAGAAAAAGGACTTTTAAATTATTACTAAAATAGAATGTAAAAAGACAATAGTAAATATCAATTATACTAAGAACTAATTCTTTGAAAATATAAACAAAATCGACAAACTTTTAGAATCACCAAAGGAAAAGAGAACAGACTCACATAAATAAAATCAGACATGAAAGAGGAAATTTTACAACGGATACCACACAAATGTTCATTAAGAGACTATAATGAACAACTATATGCCAGCCAACAAAGTGGACAATTAGAAGAAATGGATATATTCCTAGAACCATATAACCTACATCAAGACAGAATCACAATGAAATAAAAAATCTGAACAAACTGAATACAGCAAGGATCTTCAATCAGTAATGAAAAATCCCTCAAAAAACAAAAGTGTAGGACCAGATGGCTTCACTGGTAAATTCCATTAAACATTCAAAGAAGAATTAATACCAATCCTTCTCAAACTCTCCCAAAACATAGTAGAGAGGAGAACTCTTCCAAACACATTTTACAGGGCCAGGATTATCCTGATACCAAACCAGAGGATGCCAAAAAAAAAGAAAATTATTGGGTGTAGGCTAATATCTGTGTGAACATAGGTGCGAAAATTTTCAACAATGTAGCAGCGAACTGAATTAACAATACATTAAAAAAAAATCATACATCAACACCATGACCAAGCAAGATTTATACCAGATAGGCAAAGATGGATGGCTCAACATCTGCAAATCAGTGAATGTTATACTACATTAACAAAATGAAGGATAAAGATCATATGATCATCTCAATAGTTGCAAAGCATTTGATGAAATTCAACATACATTTATGATAAAAACACAACAAAGTGGGTATGGAGGGAAAGTACCCCAACATGATAAAGGCCATGTATGACAAGACAACACAACCCCCTACTCAAACCCACACACAGCTTTTCCTCTAAGATCAGAAAAAGACAAAGATGTCCACTCTTGCCACTTTTATTCAAAATAGTATTGGAAGTCCTATAGCAGCAGCAAAGAGGCAAGAAAAAGAAAAAAATGCATCCATGTCAGAAATGAAGAAGTAAAAACTATCACTATTTGCAGATGACATAATAGTGTACTTAGCAAATCCTAAAGACCCCATCAAAAAACTGTTGGAACATACAAAAATTCAATAAAGCTGAAGGATACAAAATAAATATACAAAAATCCACTGCTTTCCTAGGTACTAACAACAAAGTATGAGAAAGAGAAATGAAGAAAACAATCCTATTTATAATCAGAACAAAATTAGTAATACCACCTAGGGAAAGTCTTTAAAAAGGAGGTGAAGGCTGTATTCTATACTCTGAAAACTGTGAAACATTGTTGAAGGAAAATGAAGACACACAAAAATATAGATATTCCATGTTCATAGATTGCATGAATTAACATTGTTAAAATGGCCAAATTACCTAAAGCAATATAGATTTAGTGCAATCCTTATCAAAGTCCCAACGGCATTTTTCACACAAATAGAACAAAAAAAAATCCCCTCAAATTTGCATGGAACCACAAAAGATCCTGGAGAGTCAAAGCAATCCTGATAAAAAAGAAAATCTGACTTCAAATTATACTACAAAGCTACAATAATAACAGTACAGTACTGGCAGAAAAACCACCACACAAACTAATGGATCAGAGTTGAAAGCTCAAAGATAAACACACCTATATGGGCAAATAGTTTTCAACAAAGGAGCACAAACATATAATGGAGAAAGGAAAGTCAGTATCTTCAATAAACGGTGTTGGGAAAACTGGAATTACACATGCAACAGAATGAAAATAGAGTACTATCTGACATGACACCCCAAAATTAACTCAAAATTGATTAAAGGTTTCAAGACCTGAAACAAAATACATAGTAGAAAATAAAGTAGGCACTAAACTTATGGATCTTGGTTTCAGAGGGGTTTTTGTGAACTTGACCCTAAAGGCAAAGAAAATTGAAAAAAAAAAAAGAAGAAAGGCATGGGACTATTTCAAACTAAAAAGATTCTGCACAGCAAAAGAAACCATCAACAAAACAAAAGGGCAAGCAACTGAATGGGAAAAGATAACTGCAAATGATACCATTGATAAGGCGCTAATATTCAAAATATATAAGAAACTCAAACACAACTAAAAAATATAAAGAAACAATTCAATTAAAAAGGGGAAGAGGATCTGAATAGACACTTTTCCAAGGAAAACATAGAGATGACTAACAGGTACATGAAAAAATGCTCAATATCACTCATTACAAGAGAAATGCGTATCAAACCCACAATGAGGTAACACCTCCAAACTTTCAGAATGGTTATTACAAAAAAACCCCTAAAACCTAAAACCCCAAAACAAAAGAAACAACAAACCACAACACTTGTGTACCATTAAAGGGAATGTAAATTGGTGTAGCCACTGTGGAAAATAATGTGATGGTTCCTTAAAAAATGAAGACCAGAACTACCATATGACCCAGCAATCCCTCTTCAATTTATCTACCTGAAATATTTAAAAACCCTTATTCATAAAGATATATGTATCCCTATGTTCACTGCAGTATTCATTTTTCACCACAGCCAAGACATGGAAACAATCTAAGTGTCCTTTGACAAATGACTAGGTAAAGAAAATGTGATACACATATAAAATAGACTACTACTCAGCCATAAAAGATAAAATATTGTTGGGGACATGGATGGTTTTTCCTCCCACCATGGCTTTCCTCTGCCCCACCCACCACCACTGCCCACCCTCAATCCTTCCCCACTTTGGCTTTGTCTATGGGTCCTTTATACATGTTTCTTGATTTGACCCTTCCCATTCTTTTCCCCATGACACTCCTCCCTTCTTCCCTCTAGTTACTGTCAGTTTGTTTTTCTTTCAATGTTGCTGGTTATATTTTTCTTGCTTGTTTGTTTTGTTGATTAGGTTTCATTTATAGGTGAGATCATATGTTATTTGTCTTTCATCCCCTGGCCTATTTCACTTAGCATAATGGTTTCCAGTTCCAACATGGATGGACTTTGGGAATAATGTGTTTAAATGATATTTAAGTCAGATAGAAAAGAATAAAAATGGTATGACTTCATGCATATGTGAGATATAAGACAAAAAGCAACTAATGAACAAACAAGACAAACAAACAAAAAACATCGCACATATACAGACAACAGGATAGTGGTTACCAAAAGGGAATGGGGATTGGGGGAGGAGAAGAGGATAAAGGCAGTCAAACACATAGTTACAAAAGAACACTAGGCTTTGGGTAGCAAACACTATAAAGTATACATCTGAAACTAATGTGTTATTAACCAATGTTACTCCAATAAATTTGATAAAATAATAAAAAATAAAATTAAACACCTAAGGGAAAAAAATCTGTTGTGTTTCTTTATTCTAATAATGAACTGCCAGAAAAATAAGTTAATTCCATTTTAAATAGCACCAAAAAAAGAGTAAAATACGTAGGAATAAATTTAACCAAGAAAGAGAAAGACTTGTATATTTAAAACTGTAAGATATTAATGAATAAAATTGAAGAAGACATAAAGAAATGGAAAGATAGTCTTTTCAGTAAATAGTGTTGGGGAGAATGAAGATGGCGGGCCAAGAAGGTGGAAGCTGAGTTTGCTTGTTCCTGCACCCAACTTGGACACTTGGCTGATCTTGCATAAAATAAACTACGTGCAATGGAATCTTAGCTGATAGGAAGTCTGGAAACCAAGGAGTACAGAAAATGCTTCACAACAGGCTGTAAGGAGATTTTATAAGTAGAAGGGGAATCACCCTGTCTGTGGCGCCTGCAGCCACAGAGAACCTGGTCAGAGATGGCAGCGTTGTGGCTCCCTGCCCTGGGGAATCCCCAGGCCCGGGCAGGGAGTGACTTGGATATACAAGGTCAGTGAGATTGAGGCTGCACATACACAGAAAGTGGCACACCCACAGCTGCAGCAGCAAACGCCAACTGGGAGAGTGCCAGAAAGACAGAGGGATACTATTTGCACCTGGGTTAGCTGGAGGAGGCTGGCTGTGGGCAGCTGTGACTGTGAAAGACTTGACTTTTTGGACAGGTGGTGTGTAAGCCAGAAAGTGACTCAGTGTTGCAGAGTGCCCAGTTAAACTCTTCAAAAAGGGAGCTGAAGTGTGCTGGGCAGAAATCTTACATGCAGCTTCCCTGTCAGCAAGGGGAAGGGACACAGCATGCTGCCACTCAGTGCAGCTGGGCGGACTGATCAGAAAGGTGCTAAGCGAAGGGATCTCTGAGCATCAGTCTGGTGCAGCTGGAAGGG